AAAAGAGTGAGACTCTGTCTCAAAAAAAAAAAAAAAAGAATCCTATGTTTTAGAGATACATATGAAAATATTTACAGGTGAAAATGATATGGTATCTGGGACTGGCTGCAAAATAACCTAGGGAGGGGGTGGGAAGTAGGTAGGGATACAGACAAAACGGTCATGAGCTAATAACAGTGTAAGCCATGTGAGGGTACATGGGAGATCATTATACTATTTTCTCCACTTTCATGACGTTTGAAATTTTCTATTTAAAAAAAAAAGAGAAAGCGAGAGACAGAAGAAAGAGAGGAAGTATTTCCATGCCACATTATTTTATCATATGCCAATTATCACCACAATTGAGGAAGCCCACTTTGAACTGAGTTCTCAAGAAATGATTAAATATACCTTGGGACTTCCCCTTCCATCCTCAACTATCACTTTTTTGCCTCAATTACAATCTTTCCAAAGGAAGGCTTTCATCCTTAATGCTTTTTCCTAAAAAGCCATTTGCTTGTTTCCTTTTATAATTTGTTTGGCTTTAGACCTAATGATTTTTTAATTAAATTTAAAAACTTCCTGAGTTTTGATACTAAGTTGTTCCTTGAAAGATAAACTGACCAATTTCCCTTGACTTGGCAATTTCATTTCCTCCTGTGATGAAGGCAGAAGACAAAATGGTCCAGAACTGTGAGCTTATGGCAGAGACTCCTTGGTCACATTAAAAGAAAAGGATTTTCAGAGAGTGCCTGGTCCCAGCCCTTGTCCCAGAACTGGGCCAAGAAACAACCCCACCCCCACCCCACATGGGTCTTTATGGAAACTACAACAACAGCTGTCGGATCCTGACAATGTACTCTGTGAGAGGCACAACACCAATCACTTTACCTGAGTCGTATTACTTAATGACTACAACAAGCCAAGGAGACAGGCACTATTATGTATCCCTATTTTGCTGGGACTCAGAAACTTCAAGTGACTTACTTTAAATCACACTGCTTTATGTGGCAGAGCCAAGATTTGAACCCAGGAAGTCTGGCCCCAGAGCCTGCACTTATACCAAGCTACAACACCTCCTGGTGGAAGCCAGCTCATGGCATCTTTGTTGTGCTATCACCGATGTTCAAGGATCAGAAAAACAAAAGGTGGACTACCTCCCAGAAAATCCCCCCTCACCACCCCATCATTGGGACCATCAATTTCATAAATCTTGCTCTTGAACAGCAAAACCAAAAGGCATAAAACTTGTTTTTAAAAATTCCACAACGATAACTTAAAAGGCAAAATTGAAGACGGGTACCCCCTCCACCTGGCCCCCTCTCGCTCTCCAGAAACGCCTGGGTGGAAGGCTAGCGCCAAGTGGGCTGGTGCAGGGATTCCTCAGAAGCAATTCCACGGTGAGGGAAAAACGGGCACTAAGAGGGTAGGCGGGTCCTCCTAAGTAAATCCAGATCCAGAGTGGCCAAAAAGACAGTGAGCTGAGAGGCTTCCCTGAGTCACTCCCATCTCCACCCAGGAATGACTTAGCACCAAAACACCAATAGGACTCTTCCGAGGAAAGGAGGGTGAACACCCAGTCAGAGTCAAAGGACTAAACTTCAGAAACACTGAGGACTAGCTGTCCCACATCCCTGCACTGCCAGCCTCCCCTCCGAAATCCCCTCTCTGGTGGGAGGGAGAAGTTTGGACTGGGAAGGGCAAAGCAACGGTCCCCAGAGGGCCAGGCATTGGACAAGAAGGGAAGGGCTGCAGGACAGGACAGGAGAGACCTTAAGTGATGAGCTAGGATGAGAAATGGAAGGAGCTGGAGTATGAGAAAGAATAATGAAATGTAAAACCAAGGACCGGAGAGGGAAGCTGAGAGGGTAACTGGGAACAACTGGTGACTGGAACGGCAAAGCACTGGGGGACAGAGGTGGGGGAATAAGAGGGACGGGGAAGACAAAGGGGTTGTAGAACTGAGAGTTCTCTGGGGACAGGGAACTACTGGGATCACGGGGGTTCAGAGGTCAGCAAACTAAGAGTCCAGAGACACTTTGCCAGTGGGGAAACTGAAGTGACTGGAGACAAGGGGCCTGGGTAGGGGGAATGACTGGGAAGCCGGGGGACCGGGAACTGGAGCTGGCACTCGGCAGGTCTAGGAGCTGGGAGGGACTGAGGCACGGGAGGTCTCAGAACCTGGGGGTCTGGGGACTGGGCAAGGGGGTGGGACTGGAGGGACTGGGGGGCAGGGGTCTGGGAGCTGGTTGTAACTGACGGACAGGAGCAGGAGACTAGGAGTGCCCGGCCTCGGGGGGATCAGAGAACTGCAGATGACCAGGGGCCAGCCAGGAACCGGGTACCGGCGGCCAGGGGTCAGGAAACGGAGCGATGGGGCGGGGGTCTGCGAGCCAGCGGGGCGCGGGGACTGAGGGGCCAGAGTGTGCAGCAGCAGCGGCAGGAGCCGGAGCGGCCGGGGAGGGTGACAGCAGCGGGGCCGCCACTCACCGCTCATGGTGCAGCTCCCCGGGCCGGTGCCTGCGCCGTGCCGCCGCCACAGCCGCTTCTGCAGCCCCAAGCTCCAGACAGGCCGGGAGACAGCGTGCCCCGCCCCGGCCGCCCCGCCCCGGAAGTAGAGCGCCACCGCCGAGGCCCCGCCCCCCGACCCGGAACGAAAACACCGGCGCAGGCTTGAGGCGGGCGGGCGCACGACCTGGGCACGAGAGCAAGACTAGGAAGTGAGACTGAGACGATTTTGCGGGGAACAGGGAGGGCTCCCGGCAGACCCGAGAATCCGCGGGGAGGCGCGGCTGTCCCCAAGTCCCCGAGACCCTTCTCCGCCCTCCTGGAGCCCACGTCTCTGTCGGGGCCCCTGACACAAGCAATGAGACGGCATCGTACCAGAGAGGGATATGAGCTGGAAGGGGAATTTTAAAAGAGCAGTAGGCCGAAGCATGGGCACAGGGCAGATGGGCAGTCCCGGAGGGTCTCTCTGAGGAGGCGGCTTTTGAGCCCCGACCTAGGTGATGAGAGGGAGCCGGCCCCCGGGGGATGGACAAGTCCCCAGGAAAAGTGTCCAGAAGGTAACGGCAAGTACAAAGGCCCTGCCTGGAGGGGTTGGCTGGAGCGAGAGGGTGAGTGAGCAAAGGGTGGTGAGAGGAAGGAGATTGAAGAGGTGGGGGGAGGGCCTTGCAGGCCAGGGTGAGGAGTCTGGACTTTTCCCCCTAACCGTAGGTAGGTAGAGGAGTGGGAGGCCATTGCAACAGTTCAAGCAGGGGAGTGACACGATCTGAATTAGGTTTTAAGGCATCACTCTTCCTGGGATGAGAATGAATTCTAATGGAGCTGGGTGGAGAAAAAGCAGCTTGGTTAGGAGGCTATTGCAGTTGTCCTGGCAAGAGATAATAGTGCCCGGGGCTACGGTGGTGGCCGGTGGAGATGCATAAGGTAAAGGATTGAGTATGAACACTTTCACAACTTCCTTATGAAGTCCAGTTTATTGCCCAGGGAGGAAAAGGGACCAGAAAGGTTGAAGGAGTATTTCCCGACTTGTTTCGCCCACACCCAGAGTGAAAAAACACATTTACATCACAACCCAATACACATATGCATACCTTTAAGAAGATGTTTAACAAAACAATTCTGTAGGTAATATATTCTCTTCTATTTTTTTCCTTTCTTTTTTTTTAATGCTGACTGAGACTTGATCCACTAATAAGTGTTGATCCACAATTGAAAACAGTGGATTGAAGACTAAGCCCCACTGGGAAATAGAGCCAGAATTCCAGCCCAGTTCTGTGTGACCCCACAGCCCTGTGGTCTTCCTGCTACATTGCCGCTCAACACATAATCTCCACCCTCCCATCCCCCCAGAATTTACCTTTCAGGAAGCAATTCAGCAGAGGCCCAGAGCTCTGCAGTGTTATTTATAGGCGTGAAAAAGTGGAAAGCACCAAAGCCCCACTGCAGAAGAATAGTTAAGTAAATCATGGCCCAGCACACAAGGAATGTCTTGCAGTGGTTGAAAATGCCAGTTTTAAAGCCTGGAAATACGGGGCAATGCCAATAACAATACACTAAGTGAAAAAAGCTGCATGCAAGATAGTCTTATGCCATGATTACAATTGTATCAAAATACAGCTATGTATCAGGACTACGAGAGAATGTAAAAATAAGTTTGATTGATGAGATTGTTTTTCCCATTTTCAAAATTATACTTTATAGTTGTTGTTAATTTGTCATTCCAGTTAAAGAGTCGGTGTGTCTGATTTCTCCTAGACAACCTAGTTTAGGTCTGCCTGCCTCTGTAACTTTGGGAAAGCATCACATACCTGCTTCACGGAGTTGTCATGAGCTATTCCTTCTCATCGCACCCTGCACTTTATAGCACTTGAGGCAGGATAATTTATTGAAATCCTAATTTGTGTGTGGTATCATAGGAAATGTATTTGGTCTTTGTCTCTGGTTCCAGTCACAGAGCCCCTAAAACTCTTGGAATTTCCTACATGTTAGGAAGGTCTTTGTTATTCGTTATGCGCCCCTTTTGATCACACCTGAGTTTATGTTAATGAGGTGACTTAGATGAAAATGCCTGCTTAGAGGATTGGAACTTTGAGCCCCACTCACCCACTGATTTCTTGACTTGACTTGGGTAGGGGGAGGAGGGACTGGAGATTAACCTCTATAAAAACTCAGACTGCAAGATTTAAGGGGCTTCTGAATTGCTGAGCTCCTAGAGGGTGCTGCCCCCTGCAAGAGGGCATGGAAGCTCTGCGCCCCTTCCCCCATACCTCTCCCTATGTACCTCTACATCTGTATCCTTTATAATAAACCGATAAATGTAAGTGAAGTGTTTCCCTGAGTTCTGTGAGCAGTTCTGGCAAATTTTCAAACCCGAGGAGGGAAATCACGTGAAACCCAGTTTATAGCCAGTTGGTGAGAAGCACAAGTCACAAACAGGGACTCTCAATGGGCATCTGAAATGAGGCGCAGGCTTGTGGGACTGAGCCTTTAACCTGTGGGATCTGACACTATCTCCAAGTAGATGGTGTCAGAATTGAATTGAATTATGGAACACCCAGTTGGTGTCCGCTGGAGAGTTGCCTGGTGTGTGGGGAAAACAACCCACACATCTGGTCAGAGAAGAGTTCTATATTGAATGTGAGTAGAGAGAAAAAACAACTTGTCTTTTCCTTTATGTTGTGCTTTATATTTTCTACCACCAACCACCCACCTTAAGTACAGTTGACCCTTGAAAGACATGGGTTTGAACTGCACGGGTCCACTTTTGTTGGATTTTTTTCAACCAAACAGATCAAAAATACACATTCAGGCCAGGTATGCTGGCTCATACCTATAATCCTAGCACTCTGGGAGGGCGAGGCAGGAGGATCGCTTGAGCTCGGGAGTTCCAGACCAGCCTGAGCAAGAGCAAGACCCCATCTCTATTTTTAAGGTTATAAAAAGAAAGAAAATACATATTCACAAGACACGAAACCCGTATATACACAGGGCCAACGTCAGGACTGTGTATGTGCCAATTTGGTATACTAGGTGGAGGTGCTCTTGAAAGCAGCCCTTCCCCCTGCCATATACCAAGGGACAACTACATTGTAATTCCTTCCTCCTGTGGTTTTAGCAGAGAAGACCAAGAATCAAAGCCTAAGGTGAACAGCTCTTCTTGGGCTTTTGAAAAATCTACACTCTTTGAGAGGAAGAGGAGAAAAGGGGCCTGTGTGAAGTTAGGGACCATATTCTGAGGCCGTACAATAGGAAAGTAGTGTGTGCCTACTCTCAGACAGAGACCAGACCTCAGGAGGACTAAATGACCATCATAACAGAAATTATGTGTGTATATATATGAATTCTTAACTCATTTAATCCTTAAAACAATCTTATGAGTAGATACTATTATTATTCTCATTTTACAGGTGGGAAAACTGAGGCCTGGAGTAGTTAAGTAACTTTCTCATAGTCACCCAAGGTCTATAATTTCCTAATAACAGAGGCAGGATTCAAACCCAGGCAGTCTGGCTCCAAGAGCCAATCCCTTAACCACCATGCTATATTGTCACCTGTGGTACTGAGGGGCCCCAAATGGAGCCATGAGGGGCCCAAAATAGGCAAAAAGTTCCCACCCAAGTTCCCCATATCCCAAACATGCACAAAAGCTACAGAGCCCCAAGACCTTGAGGTTCGATGCTGTGGTGCCAGTAGGCATCTTAACGATGACCCGTCAACAGATGGCCTGAGGGCATCCCTTGTATTGCCTTTCCATAAGACCCCAGGACCTTTGCACAACCCTAGGAACGGAACTCTCCCTCAGTAATGACAAAGATTGTATCCCAAGAGGAAGAGAACTCAGAAATGGAATTAAATTGATGTGTAAAGAAAAAAAGAAATAGATCAGGCTATCTGGGTTTAAATCCTGGTTCTGCCACTGCTATGGTTTGAATGTGTCCCCTCCAAAATTCAGGTGTTGCCAATGTGATAGTATTGAGAGGTGGGTCCTTTAAGAGGTGATTGGGAGTAAGAGCCCTGTGAAAGAGGCTTCACGCAGCATTCAGCTGGGGTGTTCTTCCACTCTTCCTCCACGTGAGGACACAGCAAAAAGGCCTTTACCAGATGCCAGCACGTTGATCTTGGACTTCCCAGCTTCCAGAACTGAGAGAAAATAAATTCCTGTTCTTTATGCATTACCCGGTGTCAGGTATTCTGTTCTATCAACACAAGTGAACTAAGACAGCCATTTACTATGTTACCTTGCTCTGAGTCAGTTTCTGTCGTCATCTGTACAATGAAGATAATAACACCCACCTACCTTACAGTTTTTTGTGTGCATTGAGTTCCTACAGGCAAAGCACTTAGAACAGTCCCTGCACATTAGTAAGGCTATATAGGTGTTAGCTATGGTTATTACTATGCACTGATATTTGGGCTGCACACAGCACCTAGTACACCTTTACCACAGTTTGCAATCACACACCTACTTGTATGACTATGGTAATGCCTGATGTCTCCATGAAGCTAGAAGCTCCCAAGGCCAAGAACCACCTAAGCACTACACACTGGCTTAGTCTGGCCCATTCTAGGCTTCTGCTACTTACAGAAGTACCTAGGATAACCTTGCTTTCCTTTAACAATACAGAGAAAAATCCAGTCTGTCCAGAAATGTATATGTGCATGTACAGGAGAGAGTACATCTCTCCCACGGAAATGGGTGACTCTGGGATCTACAGATTGCCATGCTTTGTTATCAGTGAGTCAAGAATTTAATCATGAAACCAAGGAAGTTTCCACAGTTAAGGTCCCAACAATAAGGCAGAAAAATATATGTAACATAAAGAATTTCCATAATTAGAGAACACAAAATTATATCAGCAACTGAAAAATAGTCATCCTAAAGAGACCTAATGCATCATCTCTTCCCTCTGTCAAAAGATTTTTCAAAGTAGCTCTCTATCAGTTGAAATGGTTAATTACCTAGTAGAAATTGATTTCTCTGTCCCTGTAACACTCAAAGCAGCTGACAGGCTATTACAATAGTCATTTGTTTTCGTGGTGACAAGAATGGTTGCACCTTCCTCCATGGCTGGGAGTGGAAAGAAATGGTCAGAATCGACCTTTGGTTTGCTCTTGACACAGTCTTCACAGATACATTCTTCTACTGTGTACCCCAGGCCTCTTGGAAGAGCAATTTCATCACCAGTCTTGCTGTGGTCCAAGTCAGCGTTAGCCACGTTCAGGAGAACCGATCCTGATTGTACAGAAACAGAAACATTAACCTAAACTTCACAGTCATTTATGTCATTTATGGTCGTGACAGTCTTAGCAGTACACATCAAGACTCAAAAGAATTTGAGACAGATCTTTGGTTTTTTTTTTTTAATTTTAGAGATAGGGTCTCACTATGTTGCCCATGCTGGACTCAACCTCCTGGGCTCAAGGGATCCTCCCACCTCAGAGCAACTAGGACTGCAGGTGCGTGCCACTGTACCCAGCTTGAGACAGAGCTTTTCAGACAAAAAGAATATGTCCTGGCTAGGCATGGTGGCTCATGTCTGTAATCATAGAACTCTGGGAGGCTAAAATAAGAGGATGGCTTAAGGTCAGGAGTTTGAGACCAGTCTGAGCAATGGTGAGACTCCATCTCTACAAAAAATAGAAAAATTAGCCGGTCATCATGGCACATGCCTGTAGTCCCAGCTACTCAGGAGGCTGAGGCAGGAGGATCATTCGAGCCCAGGAGCTTGAGGTTGCAGTGAGCTGTGATGATGAAACTGCACTCTAGCCTGGGTGACAGAGC